AAGACTTTGCCTGAAGTAATTTAACGTGACTGAATGAATGACTTGGCCTTGCCAAAAGCAACGTCCTGTTCCAATAATCTTCGTGGGATCTAATTATTTGACATTTCCCTGAAAATTTTCCCTTTGCTAGTATTGTCTTGATTTTCTATGGGCGTCGTTCGCAAAAGATCTAAAATTTGGCACTTACCGGTTCGTGTTTTGTCCACCTCTTCGTTTGCGTATCTCTAGAAGGTGGTTAGCAAGACTGATTCTTTTATAATTTTTAGTACAAGCATTTAAGACATCCAACAGCTTCAAAGTTGTAGCACTTATTGGTGCGTACCCATGATTTCTGGGAAATATAACTGATAAAGTTGCACAATTTATTGTATTCCGGACTTGCCGTCCTCAAAAAGAAATTTGCAAACCTAAAATAATGGGTCCATGGTTTGTTAGCGTCCAAAAGTTGAAATCGAAATCAAGCCCAGCGAGCCCTGAAACTGTTAGCTAGTCAGCCCCCTTTTAAGAAAGGTACAATAATCGAGTTGATGCTTTCAGTAACTACTAATTTTCCCCTCCAGACTGATTGACTCCAGTTGGGGTGCCTTGAATTTTCGGGCGCCTTATTATGCCTTGCAGGGTATGGCGTCGATAATTTCTTTTTTAGCATGTTCATACGATCCTGCGTAGGTAGTGAAAAAGGTAAATTTCCGTATGTAAGGAGATAGGTCAGCCAAAATTTGACAATACCGCAAATAGATAACACTGGTAAACGGCCGCCTCTAAACAATAATGCCTGCTAATATTTTATCCTCTTCGTCTCTAGAGTAAAAGTCTAACTCACCCGTTACAAAAGTCGCCTTACCGGGCTTGGCTGTTATATTTGTTGTCCACCTCTCGTTGCCTACTCCCTAGTTTTTTTCATGCTTAGGGACATTGTTCTAGATGACAGATGATTAACCTCGATGTCCACTGAAAACTACACCACTATCGGACTGGTATTAGCATTTTTTTAGCCTAAACAATACGTTTTAGAGAGCAGCGCTTCTTCGACATGCATTTTGCTGTGTGCACACTCCCTGGGGATGACGTGAACCATCATGCCTCATTGACTTTAAATCCTTTCATACGTAGGGTTGTTATATACTGAAAAAAGTTTCTGGTATTCCGAATTGTGATCCTATCAGTGACCCAGTAAGCTGAAGCAGAATGTCAGTGTGTTTTAGGTGCTCGGTGGCTTTGCGGTTTGCGATGTTTCTGTTTAGAAGCGCTTATGTGGACTGTTCTGTAAACTACAAAGTTCATTTCTATTTCTAGCCACTGTCAACGGCAAACAAAAAATCCCTTCAGCCCACAAGAGACCGAAGAAGAAACCGAAACATGTGGAAGATGAAAGCGATGAGCCACCACAGGAAGTGCCTCCAACAGCCTGCATTCTGCTTCCTACACGACCTGGTTTCCTCCGAAAACCCTTTGATGGAACGCCTCTTTCAAGCAGGAGGACCGAAAAGATTGAGCAACTGGCACAAAAGGTCTTCCGTTCCGCCGGCCTTCAGCCCTCTAAACTCTCCGTCATTCACTGCAACCACCCCCTAGTCCTGGCTGAATTTGACATCTCCCCTGATATCCGTAGTCGTGTTCTTGCGGAGTCAGGCGTCCGAAAACTAACATATGAGTGTCCTATAGTATGGACTACTTCTGCACGGGTCAAGGCTTTCAGAAAGACGGACATATCACCAAAGCAGCAGCAGGAGGAGGAAGCTCCACACAGCGACTCGGAGCCAGTGCCAGATAACGCACTCGGTCGTAAGTCTACCGAATTTTAGTTGTTGCAAACGGAAGTTAACACGGAATTGTCTGCAATTTGCCTCTTTTTTCGAGTAACCAGCACTTATTTCTTAGTCCATACGGCGGTTAACAGAACTGTGCAGCCAAGACGCTGGTGTTGTAAGACGAACTTGAATAATTGACCTCACGAATTTAAGGTATAATACCTTTAAAATATAGAATTAATACTACTTGTCTGCATGGCGTAGTTATTTCCACAATAGTTGACTGCGCTCATTGCAATTTCGGATCTGATCCCAAAAATTAATATCTCGGCCTTTAATAATTTCTGAACTGCCAGAAATGGTAACCCTGGACATTGAATTCGGCTGAACAGTTTCTGAAAATTATCAGACATCTACAACTAGAGTCAGAAGAGTTAATGCTATCGTTTGACATGGTCTCCTTATTCGCTTCCATTCCAATCGGCCTCGCTATCAGCACTATTGCTGAGCCTCTTCAAGAAACGTATTATGAAGTTGGCCATCAACTTAAACGAATGCACGTCACAAAACTCCTGGAATTGTGCCTCGGAACCTTTTTCTCTTTCAAAGACCGGGTGTACGAGCAAAAGAAGATAACAGCGATGGGCTGTCACCCCTTTGGATTGATTGCCGAGGCGGTCTTATCCAGCGATTGCTCTTTCGTTCGTACTGCCCGAAGTTGTGAGCCAGATATGCCGACGACACATTCGTCCTAACAAAATAGTGACAAATCGAAGTTTTTCATGAATCGTTAACCCATTTAGCGTTAGGGTGACCCATAAACCGGATTCAACTATCCGGCAGCAGATAAGGGGACTCAAAGACCTGCTGTCGATAACGAAACAGTCGGCAGTGGTCTACAGCATAACCTACCAAAATTGCAACACGAAACGTGTTAGTGAAATGGGTAAATGCCTCTGCACAAGAGTGCACAAACACCGGCTTGCAGTCAACCGCGAGGATATTTTGAGCCATATTTTGTGAAAGGTAAAA